CACAGGAAGGTGATATAAGCAGACCTGTGTGTTGGGGCAAGCCAGGGGTATATAGTAAGACCTTGTATGAAAAACCAAGAAAACCTCAAAAGTAGCAGAAAATTTATCAAAAGCCTGAATTTAATTTTAAATGACATTTACAATTTTATTGGAGAAAGGCATGTTCACACCCCATGGAGTGAGTGAAGATCAGAAGCTAACTATGGGAGTCAGTTCTCCCCTTCCTCCATGTGGGCCCTAGGGATTCAACTCAGACTTGTAGGTTTGATAACAAGCATTTTTACTTACAGAGCAATCTCACTGGTTCCAACAGCTAAGTATAAAACTATAAAACTCTTGGGAGGAAATACCATAATAAATCTTTATAATCTTGGATTAGGTAATGGTTTCTTTCTTTTTTTTCTTTGTTTTTGAGATAGGGTTTCTTTGCATAGCCCAGGTTGTCCTGGAACACATTCTGTAGACCTTGAACTCACAGAGATCATCCTACTTTTGCCGATCAAGTTCTGGGATTAAAGTCGTGTGCCACCACTGCCAAAAGCGTAAATAACTAAAGAAATATTAGTAGCTTAGACTTCTTCAAAGTTATTTTTCTTGCATCAAATAACTCAAAAAATAAAGGGTCACTGGGTGGTGGTGGCACATGGGAGGCAGAGGCAGGAGGATCTCTGTGAGTTTGAGACCAGCCTGGTCTACAAGAGCTAGTTCCAGGACAGGTTCCAAAGGTACACAGAGAAACTCTGTCTTGAAAAAAAAAATGTAAAGCACCCACACATCAAGAAACAACAATGATGGAGCTAGAGAGACCACTCAGAAGTTAAAGAGTCTTGGCTGATTTTCCAGAGGACCTGGATTTAATTCCTAGGACCTCCAGGGCAGCTCATAAACATTTGTAATTCCAGTCCCAGAGGATCTGATTCCTGCTTCTGGCCTCTGAGAGAATCAGGTACATGGCACACAGACATACATGTAGTCAACCACACATATGCATTAAATAAATACATTTAAAAGAAAAAGAGCAACCAATCACCATCTTTTATGTACAAGAATCTCTTTCAAGGTTTCTGTTCATCCAGTGGGCTTTTTGGGAAGCCTGACTAACACATCTACGTAGGGAGTTTGGAAGAGCATGGGCTTCTTTTTTATTTTTTGACACTGACCACAGATAATTTATTCCAGGCACAGGGAAAAAATATTACCAAATCAAGAATAAGCAATTGGACACCCCATGAAAGATCTTTGCAGGCAGCTATAGCTATTTATGCATGTTTATGCTTGCAGCTGCTATGTTACATCCAAAAGACAGCATTTCATAGCACTCCACTTACCCCTCTGCTTTTTACAATCTTTCTCTGTCCCTGTTTCTGTGATGTTCTGGGAGCACTGGAGAAAGTAAAAGTGCTATTTATCATTTCATTGTGCAGTGATGAAAAACAGTTTGGTAGTTCTTCACAATGTTAAACACGAGTTACTGTATGACCCAGTGTCATGAGAGAAACTTTTCCTGAAGACCACACATGCACTAGTGTGGGTTGGCACGAACACGCACGCGCGCGCGCGCGCACACACACACACACACACACACACACACACACACACACACACACACACACACACACACACACACACACACACGGGTTGGGGGGGTTACTCAGCCAAGAAAGGGAGCCCATGACCTAATACCAAAATTCAACTTGGTAAACTACTACATTTTTTAGCTTTAGTTTTTGGAGGCAGCGCTTCGCTGTGTAGCCTTGGCTGTCCTGGAACTTGCTCTGTAGACCAGGCTCGTCTCAAACTCACAACCTCCTGAGTGCTGGGATTAAAGGTGTATGCTACCACCACCCAGCTGAACTACTACATTTTATTGGGGTTTCTTTTTTTCTTTGTTTTTTTTCGAGACGGGGTTTCTCTGTGTAGCTTTGGAGCCTATCCTGGCACTCGCTCTGGAGACCAGGCTGGCCTCGAACTCACAGAGATCCGCCTGCATCTGCCTCCCGAGAGCTGGGATTAATGGCATGAGCCACCAACGCCTGGCTTTATTGGGGTTTCTAACTTCATACCTGAATGCTCTCTCCTTTCAGACCCCCCCATCATGCTATACATTACACCCATTTCTGGCATACCTTTAATCCCAGCATTTGGAAGGCAAAGCAGGAGGGGTGCTAGAGCTCCAGGCCAACCTGGGTTACAAGATGAAACTGTCTCAGAAAGAAGAGAAAGAATGTCCACACAAAAGTTTGAACATGAATATTAATATCAAAATAGCCCCAAATAGAAACAACCCTTATAATGTCTACCAACTAATGAACAGATAGACAAAACATTGCATACATGGGTAGACTGTTTAATTCCATCATGAGAAGGGAAACATGGTACAAGCTCCAGCACGGATGGACCTTGAACTCATCACTTTGAGTAGAAGTCAGACATGAAAGACAACATGTATATGACTCTATTCTTATGAAAGTCCTATATAGGTGAGTATATGAAAGTAGGAAGTACACAAACTGTGCCAGTGGCTAGAAGCGGAAGGGAGAATGGGCAGTGAGGGCTGAGGAATACAGGGATGTTCTGGGGGTGATGACAATGTTCTTCCAAGACAGGTGGGAGCTGGCTATGCAGGCTTAGGAGACAAGAGAGCAGCTTGAGGACCTTGGTAAAAGTGGCCATTCTGTGAACTTGGGTTTTTGTTTTTGTTGTTGTTTTTTGAGACAGGGTTTCTCTGTAGCTTTGGAGCCTGTCTGGGAACTTGCTCTGTAGACCAGGCTGGCCTCGAACTCACAGAGATCTTCCTGCCTCTACCTTCCCAGTGCTGGGATTAAAGGCGTGCGCCACCAATGCCTGGTGGCCTCTGCGAAGAGCTTTATAATCAGCCTGCCAAAACAAATCTCTGTGATGGCTGAAGCCCAGAAAGGAGGCAGCCGTGGCCTGGAAGCAGTAGTGAGAGACCCCCACAATGCAGGTAGAGATGAGGCAGGCAGGAGGCCATCAGGAGAGACAAGTGGCAAGGGGCATTGTCTCACCCCTCACCAGGGGGTGTGTAAAATATGTGTCTGTTCACCCCAAAGAGAAAGAGCCCAACAGAGAACAAGCACCTTGAGTGATTCAGGAAGGAGGCCAGTGGTGGAAGAAAAGCCACCCAACACCATCATTCTCACTGTTGGTTGACACTCTGCAACACAGGAAATAGCTCAAGTACCAAAGCCAGATGAAACAGGCCCAATCCTCTGAGAATATGTGTACAGACTTGGGCTAGGGCAACCTTTCTGTGTTTAGGGAGAAAATACTCCTGCCTCAGGCTGTGTGCTAGGATTACAGTGTTGCCCTCTGTTGCCCAAATTTACCTCAAATTACAAGGTTCTTGTAGTCCTCTTGCATCAAAGCCTTCCTAGTAACCAAGACCATATGTATATGCCATTTCACTCACCCCACTGCTTATAGAGATTTACTATGTAACCCAGGCTGACCTCAAACTTGGTCCCTCCACTTCTGTCCCAAAGAGAATTAGGATTATTACACTCATGTCGCCATGCCTAGTTACTTCACATTTTGAAAACACACACACACACACACACACACACACACGTGAAAATTGAGACAAATTTCCACCTCCCCAACAAATGTTTCTGTTCCTTCTCAACATTCATTAGATGAAAAACACTCTAGATATGTTCAGAATTCATGTGAAATTATTGTTTAGCTCTCTTCTTGTGTATGTTCCTTAAATAAATATATGTCCACTGTGTTTTAAGTGATTGCTAAAGTCCTATTAAAAACAGCTGAGGCCAAAACCCAGGGAGGAAATTTTGTACGAGATGACAGCTCAAAGACAAAAGGCACATAGACAGTATTTCCTAGCTAACTAAATAGGGGAAGGCCTATGGTATATCTGGGATGCAGCATTCCGAGGGCAGAGGTAGGAAGCAAGCAGGGCTGCAATAAGACCTTAAGGGTCAAAAATTGGCAACTCAAGAATAATCCATGGGCTCCTACCCAGGTAGATTAGTGTTGTCCTCAGGGGATCCTGAGGAAACTTTTTTATTTATTCTTCTCTCATACACTATATCCCAATTGCAGTTTCCTCTCCCTCCACTCCTCCCAAAGAACCTTTAAAAAATTATTTTTAAAACATTTTGACTGGGCAGTGGTGGCACACACCTTTAATCCCAGCACTCAGGAGGTAAAGGCAGGTAGATCTCTGTGAGTTCAAGGCCAACTTGGTCTACAAAGCAAGTTCCAGGACAGGCTCCAAAGCCGTAAGAGAAATCCTGTCTCAAAAAACAACAAAAAAATTGTGTATATGCCTATATGCATGTCAGAGGACCACTTGTGGGGGCTGGCCCTCTCCACCACGTGGGTTCCCAGGATCAAAGTGAGGTCGTCAGGCTAGTAACAGATACCTTTACCTACTGAGCCATCACTCTGGCTCCAAGTGAAATTCTTTGAGAACCACATGTACCTCCCAAGGTCAAGAGGGACCACTCATGGGAAGGCAGGCCCCAACAGAGAGGTGTACAAGAGGAGGGTCCTGAGTTGGCACCTCTAGACCTATTGCTTGGTTGTTTTGTCTTTGGCCAAGCCATTATTGCCTTCCAATGTGTCCCCAGCCTAGGCCCCAAGGTTCCTGACACGGCCCTGACATCACTAAGAGTCACACTTTCCCCCTTCTTCCACAAAAGGTGCAGTAGTTCCTTCTGTAGACTCTGTCACGACAGCCTGCTGAGTATCACTTTTTTTTTTTTTTTTTTTTTTTTTTTTGTTTTTTATAGAGGGGTTTTTTATTTCTTTTTAAGATTTATTTGTTGGGCTGGAGAGATGGCTCAGAGGTTAAGAGCACTGACTGCTCTTCCAGAGGTCCTGAGTTCAATTCCCAGCAACCACATGGTGGCTCACAGCCATCCGTTATGAGATCTGGTGCCCTCTTCTGGTGTGCGGATATACATGGAAGCAGAATGTTGTATACATAATAAATAAATAAATAAAAAAGAGCTACTATGTTTTTTTTTTTTAAAAAAGATTTATTTGTTATATATACAGTGTTGTGTCTGCATGTATCCCTGAAGGCCATAAGAGAAGACTAGATTCCATTACAGATGGTTGTGAACCACCATGTGGTTGCTGGAAACTAAACTAGCCATCTCTCCAGCCCAAGACAGGGTTTCTTTGTGGCTTTGGAGGCTGTCCTGAAACTACCTCTTGAAGACCAGGCTGGTCTCAAACTCATATCAATCTGCTTGCCTCGGCCTCCCTAGTGCTGGGATTAAAGGCATGCGCCCCCAATGCCTGGCTGAGTACCACCTCTTCTGCCTCTAGTGGGCATCTCACATTGGCTTGTGCTATTATAACTAAGTGGTGTTCCTTCTGTATATACAGTCCACAGAGATATACAGTCCACACTAAAATTCTAGCCTTGGCTAGAAACACTGACTAAACCCTGAGCCTCCTAAGACTCCAGCTTCTTTGACCTCTCAGCTCAGACTAAAGATGGTGTTGTATGGTCTCTGGGTACCTCAGCTCCTGTCAGGCTCTCAAACCCTGGTTGCAAATTATCTCATGCCCCAGAATTGTTTCTGGCACAGCACTGAAGCGTACTGCATGGAAATGCCTGGGCCTGGCTACCCACCCTACAGGACTGTATGTGCAGTTGAGAGTGGCTTTGCACTTGCCCCTTATGTTGATGGGATCAGGCTCCCACTTCAGTCACCAGGGTGGCTCCACCAGAGAGGTGAGTAGGAATGCCTAGCCAATTGCTAGGGACTTCTAGTAGACAGTGGGCCAAGATCTAAAAGAACACAACAGAAACAAAAGATCTTGTTTATTTCCCAGGAGGAGGTAGAACAGAGGCTCAGGGATCCCTGCCCCAGAGATCTTACTTCCAGAAAAGAACATTCCAGAAAAGCAGCCAGCAGGGATATAGACCCAAGGCCAGTATTGGGAAGAGGAGGGCACCATAGGTGTGGTGTTCCAGCACGCCCTGGGCCAGTGCTGTCAGGAAGAGCTGCCAGCCCTCCGCCAGAGATAGTGGTACTTCCTGCAGCTCCCGCCACAGGAACAGGCTACCAAGGAGTGTGACTGCTGGGCTTGTCATCATCAACAGGACAGCATAGAGTGGCCTGGGTGGAAGGGCAACATTTAAGTATGTACCTTGGTGAATGCCAGAGAGTGAATAAATGAGGTTAGCTCTGGTGAGGGGTAATGGTACTGGTGGAAAAAAGGTTGACCAGCACATACCGGGGTCCATGGGGCTTGGTGAGTGCAGCAGCAGGTACCATGGTAGCAGCCAGCAGGAAGCCCAGGGAGAAGTTAGTGAGAGCAATGCAACCCAGCTGCAGAGCTAGGTAGATCAGGGCCACCAGCTTCAACGCCATCCAGCCTCTGTCTGGGACCTGTGAGCCGACCACTCTACAAAGTAAGAAGTTCAAGGGTAGCCCAGAAGCCATTTAAGTATCCCAGAGGGCCACCCCCACCTGTCCAGACCAGCTGCTCACCGGTGGGTGTTGTGTGGAAGGGCTAGGCCAGCCACATAAATAGCTAGCAGTGTCAACACGACAGCCTCAGCTTCACCCACTGGAAAATGCTGAGCAGCTACATGTTGGCCCAGCACGGGCAAGACGTAGAGGGCCAAACCCATGGCCTGAGAGATCAGTAGGGGTGCCATAAGTGAGGCCAGGCCCACGCCCTGCAGAGCACATGGGAACTTCGGAGTTAGCCAAATGCATAGGGGAAGCCCCCCAAAGACTCATGGGACCCCTCTAGCTGAGGCCATGTGGTAACAAAGCACTGCTGGGGACTTTAGAAGCCCCCTCTAACAGCAATGGAGTGTAATATCACCTGTGTTGCCAAGGGTGGAGACCCAGGGCCAGGAGCCTTCCCGGCCTCCTCAGGGCTCACTCCAGCCTCATGTAACTGCATCCACAGCTCCAGGGCATGGATCAAGTCAAGGACCCCAACAAGACCTTGGATGGGATTTGCTAGATGGGATATCATGGGCTCACTTCCCCACCCCCATAGCAGGAAGGACTATCCCCAGCTTATAGTTAAAGGGATCTGAGGCTGGCCACAGTGAGTAGTGAGAACGAGGCTGGAGGATATCTTAAGTCCAAGGACCAGGAGCAAGAAGCCCATGGCAGGCATGTAGAGCCCAATGGAGACAAAGCGGGAGAGGGCCGGCAGCAGGTAGAAGAAGAATGACTGGTGTAGGCGCTCCAGGAGGTGGTTGAGCTTGCGGAACATGCCCTCCAGAGCCCTGTCAGGAGCACAATCAGGTCAGGGTCAGCCATCCTCTCACCCCAGCTAGAGACTGCCTTGAACATGAAAGTGATCCAGAGACTTACTTGCCCACTGCCACCAAATCGTACTTGTACTGGCGGAAGCTATTGATGCCACGCAGGGTTAGGGCTTCCACTCGATAGCGCAAGAAAAGACCATGGGGGCCATGGGGCTGGCCAGAGGCCTGCCTCAGAACCATCAGTAGCAGTGTCTGCAGACCCTGCAATGGTCCTTCGAGTGATGTCCAGTCCTGAGGCTGCAGCTTTGGAGGCATAGAGACAGGATCAGATTTACTCCTTATCATAGGCCCCATGCTCCCAAGCAGGTGGTCCCACCTTGCCCTGGAGTGTGCATAACAGCCCCCCTTTCTGGCAGAATGTCTGGAAGAGGTTCAGCAGATCAAGGTTGGGCAGCTGACCATTGAGTCCCTCTACAGTCACATCAAGACTGGTGACCACATCACTGCTCAGCTCCAGGGCCACAGCTGCCTGAATGGCTCCAGCCCTTCCCTGCAGGGGAGATGACTGTATGCCTGTAGGAGCAAGCAATGAGCACTAGAAGGGGCACTAGTGAGATAGTTGACACGGAGAGACACAGGCACAGGATAAGAGGAACACCTACCTGTAACATTAATGTCATGGTAGGCTTCAAGCCAAGCCTCAGTGCCCACAAGATCATGCTCTGTTACCAGGAAGATTATATCTTTGGCCCAGTAAATCTGCCCTGGAAGTCAAAGGCAGGGTCAACAGGGCCTGGGGCATTGGTCAAATAAACCCTCCCTGAGAGAGCCCAAGAGCCTCACCTCGGAAATGGGCAGCAAGTGCCAACAGCAGCCCCACAGCCTGGCTATTTGTAGAGTCTGGACCACAGGGTACAGTAAGTACCAGAGACTCGGTGCTGGCAGCACGTGGGGCCCGCAGGATGCCATACACATTGGTACCTGACACCATCTGTACAAAGTGTTGGTGGGAAAGCCTCAGCAGACTCTACAGAAGACAGGCTGACGCCTGCCTTCTTTCCTGGCACCACAATGCCCACGACCAGAGGTTTTCAGACCATCCCTCCCACTGAGTTTCTTGGTTTCAGGGCACTTCAACAAGACACCCGGCCCAGGCCACCCTTCTAAAGTGCTTTTCTCCCAGGCACACCCCTTTCCCTCCATACATAGCGCTCGTGGGTCTCATCCGGAAAGGGCAGTTTGCGGGAGAAGCTCTGAGTGTAGACCTCCAGCCCTACGGATCGCATCGACCGCTCCAGCCAGGCCACTGGCAGAGCCCTGGAGACACAAAGATAGCCTCAGAACAGTGCTCCATGGTCTTGGCCGCCTCTGATGTCCCCAGCCCTCTGCTAAGGCACTCACCCCGACTTCCTACGGTGTGCAGCGAAGTCCCGGGCAAAGCTTCGAGCGCGGTCTCCACCTACAAACTGCTCCTCCACCATGGTGGAGCCCATGGCGTTCTCAGACATGTAAGTGCGCTGGGTTAGGGGCGGGAAAGCCAGCGCCAAAAACCAGGTGATGCCAGCCACGTAGCTCAGCACGCTGCGAGAGAGCACAGAAGGGCCCTGGAATTAGCTCAACCTGGGACGCCCGCTCGTGGCTTCCACCACTGCCATTAAGATCCCGAGCCATTATATCAGGGATAGATCGGGACCAGAGTTCAGAGCTTGAGTGACGCCTGCAGAGAGGAGTCAGTCGCCTGAGCAGTAGCCACCAGCAGACCCACAGTCGTTCCGGTTCCCGGGAGTCCCGCCCTCACCAGAGCGGAGTGTTGAGGCGCAAGACGAAGCGGGCGAGCGCGCGCCGGCGCACCGGGTCCGACAGGAGCCCCATGGCCGGGAAGGAGGCTCCGTTCAGGACGCCACCAGGACCTCCGAACGGGTTCCCGTCAGACCCGGCGCCCCGTGCTGCCTTTACTTCCGGTCCCAAGATCCGTCACGCCAATACGCTTGGTAGGGGTAGATATCGCAGGGAATCAGGCTTTGCGCATGCCTAAACTGCAGTAGGCTGGACAGCTACAGGATGCGATCACGGCAGTGGGCGGAGCTGGAACCTGGGGCTGTGGAATCGCTGGTGAGCAGTCCCTGAAGGGCAGGATCCTGGCAGAGCTGAAGGCAGTGCAGCGATAGTGTGCCAGCCTAAAGGTTCCCAGGAGTTTGAGAAAACGGTGTGTAACGCAGGTGGGTGGAGAACTAAAGCGACGAAAGGGTAACTCAAATGACCTCTGAATTGAGATGTGAATGATTGCGTTGTATGACATAAGGTCCCCACGTGACCTGAGTATCAGGTATTGAGTCATTTCTATGGATGTCTAAAACCTTAATACAGTGGGCTCACCTAAGTGATGGGCCAGAATCAAGGCCATCAAGGCCAGATACAAGGGTTTTGGAAAGTTGGTATACTACCACTGGCTAAACCGAGGTGAGTGGAGTACAAAGTGAAAAGCATATTGCTTTTGTCCAACCACAAGGCACCTGCATAGTGGGCAGAAGACAAAGAGGTGGATGAAGGCAGTTTGTCTAAATGGTGCAGAGGTAAGGATAGATGGCCAAGAGGCAACCAGAGCTTGTTATTATTTTAGAGTCCAAGTGGTAGAAATGGCCCAAGAAGATTCCTGAGGAAAGATTTCAGGCCAGTGGTTCTCAACCTTCCTAATGCTTCAACCCTTTAATGCAGTTTTTCATGCCCAACCATTCATAAACATAGTTTTGCTGTTATGAAGTTTAATGTAAATATCTGAAATGCAGGATATCTGATATTTGTCCCCCAAAGGGTTGAGACTCTCATGTTGAGAACTGCTACATTAGTCTAGCCTTACACCTCTATGATAGGCAAGCATAGCCAGTTGAGTTCTACCTCAGCCTTGTGCAAAGGTCCCAGATGGGCTGGATGAACATGGCATATTCCTTAGTGTGAGGGCTTAAATACTCTTTTTTTTTTTTTTTTTTTTTCCGATTTTTTCAAGTCAGGGTTTCTCTGTGTAGCTTTGGAGCCTATCCTGGCCCTTGCTCTGGAGACCAGGCTGGCCTCGAACTCACAGAGATCTGCCTGCCTCTGCCTCCCAAATATTGGGGTTAAAGGTATGCGCCACCAACGCACGGTGGGCTTAAGCACTCTTGCTCTTCCTAGCACAGGTAGGGGCATTGCTACATACTCTGCTTTGCAGGGCTCTGAGCTGCTCTGTATAATAAGGTGTGTATAGCAGAGGAACAGGCCTTTATTTTGGATATGGGTGGTTGGCACTCAGTCCCCCAGTAAGATAGAGGCCTCCTGCACATGCTGCCGGACTACACGATCCAGCAGAGTGTGCACATCTCTGGCTGCTTGGGCAGCAGCCTCTAGAACCTGCTCCAAGTGGTCTTCATGCAGCCTTGAATCCATCTCAAGCAGTGCAATCTGGCCTGAGGCTGGCAATAGGGCCAGGGCTAGCTGGGGACCTCCAGCTGCTTCCTCCACATGGCTGAGGTCCGACAGTGCTGTGCCATCCACAAAGCCAGCTGAGCATGCACATACAAAGTCCCGCATGGGTATCCCAGCATCCATCACTGCCAGCGTGGCTGCATTTACACATGCTGCATAGGTTCCACCATCTGCCTGCAGTACCTGAAGGGGCATCAGGACATGAGACTCACATCTCAACCTTCAGCATGTCAGGCCCACCTCATACAGCCACCCCACCCCCACCCCCGAGCCCACCCACTCCTGGTGGTGGAGGGGTTTGAAGCTGCAGCTAGCTCACCTGCACATAGATGTCAATCTGAGAGCGTGGGTGCAGCTGTGTGAGGATGGCTGCCTCAAAGGTCTGGCGTAGTTGCAGCCCCATCTCACAAGACTTACGGTCCCCATGAGGCCTTCGCTTGCGCTCACCAGTGCTGAAGGTTGCTGAACTATACTGACAGTTCACTAGAGCCCGGTCAGGCAAGGCTCGAGACCTGGAACCCCGGATCTGGAGGAGAAATGAACACAGGTGTCAGGCCTACCTCCTGGGTCACACTCAACCCACAGGACTCAACCTTTCTCCTCCTCTTCCTCTAGTGCTTCAGAAAACAGCGGCTACCTGGCTTCCAAATCAAATCCTAGCTGGAGGGAGGCTTTTCAGACTAAACCATAAGTTACCTTTGGCAGGCAACTCTTTGTTCTACAGTAGCTCCATTTCCTCCCAAATTATTCCCATTGTGGCCACCACATTTACAAACATCTGGTCCGTGTCACCTATACACTAATAATTTACCTATCTACCAGGGGCTCCCCATTACATGTAAAACAAAGTCTCAGTTTCCCGACTTTCAAAGTCTTGGGTCCACCCCCTTGGTAACTACTCAACTTTACTTGATCTACTGCCTCTCTACCTACCAATAGTCGGCCCTGATGTGTTCTATACCCGACTATCACCCTGCCTTCCGCCTAGAAAGCTGAACTCTCATATACCAACCAAACTGTAAAATGTGCGTGTTTTGCTGGCCTTGACACAGCACTGAGACACAGCAATAAAGGTAGACAATTACATCGAGAGTCCCTGTATTGGGAATTTATGTTCCAGTAGAGAAAGAAGCGACGCGGAAGACTCAGTAAAACCGATGTAGTTAGTAAGCGCAGACAGGCAAATAGTGTTGCAGTGGCCTGGGGAGCTTCTACCTGCCAAGAAGTCAGAATAATGAGCTGAGAAAAGGGGGAGTGAGTGGAGCTTCGCCAGGCCGGCTGAGGCACCTCAGAGACTATGAGGGCCCACTGGCGGGAGGAACCCGCGCCCGGTCTCTTACTCGCCTCGTGAGGCCCGTAGACCACCGCCAACGCCTTGGTGTTGCCCTGCTCGATATAAGCCGAGCCGTCGGCCTGCGCAAACACGCCCATACGCGCTTGGATCTTGCGCAGCTCGCCCGCGCGCCGACCGTCTATCCGGTAACCCTGGTCGGACAGGAGCTCCAGTCCGGCCATGTTGTACGACCCCAGCTCCGCCTCCCAGAGCACAGCGCTTTAGGACTCCAGCTTCCACGACCCATAGCTTCCGGCGGTCCGTACCTTTTTCGGTCTCGGTAAACTACAGCTTCCGGAGAACTAGTCCCTTTCCGGTCCGATGGAACTACAGCTCCCAGCATTCTCGGCTTTCTAAATGTACGGGTCTGGCCGAGTACAGAAGGCCCGAGCAGAGCGTTTTGCGGCTTCTCCCGGGTCGGTAAAGGAGGAAGGGACTGAAGACGGCCTTCTCCTTCTGGACGTCTTCGGTTTGTTGGAGACTCTCTTCCCAGCGGAGACATTTTTTTGGTCTTTTTTTTTTTTTTCGAGACAGGGTTTCTCTGTGTAGCTTTGGAGCCTGTCCTGGAACTAGCTCTGGTAGACCAGGCTGGTTTCGAACTCACAGAGATCCTTCCGTCTCTGCCTCCCAAGTGCTGGAATTATAGGCGTGAGACACCACCGCCCGACTTTTTTTTTTTTTAAGATTTATTTATTCTATGTACAAGTGCTCTGTCTGCATGCACTTTATGCCAGAAGAGGGCATCAGACCCCTCTATAGACGGTTGTGTGCCACCATGTGGTTGCTGGGAATTGAACTCAGGAGGAGGAGTAACCAGTGATCTTAACCTTTAAACCATTTCTCCAGCCCTGGTCTTTCTTATTTTTTAGTTGTATATTTTCATTTTTATTATATGAAATTTCTGTTCGTTTCTTGTTTTTTTGAGACAGGGTTTCTCTGTTTAGCTTTGGAACCTGTCCTGGAACTAGCTCTGTAGACCAGGCTGGCCTTGAACTCACAGCGATCCGCCTGCCTCTGCCTCCCGAGTGCTGGGATTAAAGGCTTACGCCACCAACGCCCAGCTAGCAGCTGCATGGTTGTATAGCAGCTTTTGGAGTTCTAATTCTTTTTTAAGATAGGATCCTTTAGTGTTCACCTTTTTTGGAGTGCTTCAACTCAGAAAATATGAAATCCAATCGTCCTGAGGTCTCTTTGTTGTTGCTTTTTGGAATCTGGATGTGTATCTCAGGTTGTTGTGGTTGCTTTTTTGAGTGTTTAATGTATTTCAGGTTGGCCTTGAACTGGCAGTCTTCCTACCAGAGCCTTTCTAGTGTTGTGATTATGGGTGGGGCCACAACGTCCGGCTTGGATTGTGTTTTTGTTGTCTCCTTCATACCTATGGGGTATATATAGCAGGTTGCATTCCCACCACTTCCTCTTTAACTGCCCCATGTGTCCCAGGGGCTTATAATTAAGTGACACAATTCCTGGCAGAGGGCTTCTGAGTCTGGATTCCAAATGTGTTATCTTTCTCACCCAGGGTAAATAATGATGTTGTGGTGGTTGTTTGTGGTGTGTGTGTGTGTGTGTGTGTGTGTTAAGATAGGGTCTTGCTGTAGCCCCAGCTGGCTTAGAACCCAGAGATCATGCTGTCTCTGCATACTTAGTGCTCCACCACACCTAAAAAAAAAAAAAAAAGCTATTTGTGTTCATGCTTGCATGCCGAGTTCAGAACACAACTGTGGAATCAGTTTTCTCTTCCCACCTTTATATGGGTTCTAGAGATTGAATTTAGGTTGTGAAGACTTGGTGGCGAGTGTCTATCCAATGGCCTGTCTCGATGGTTCCTGATGTTGTTGATGTTATAGATAAAAGACAATACAGATGCATAGAAAGGAAACTGGGTTGAAATTACCCTTCAGATGGGCTGTATTAGGAAAGTTATGGCATCATTGTTACAGATTGCAATGATGAGGGAGAATAAACATTCCAATTGTTTGTTGTGGATTAGCAGAGTTAGAACATCACACTAGCCAGGTGTGGGGGTAGCACACGCCTTTAATCCCAGCATTCAGGAGGCACAAGCAGGAGGATCTCTGTGAGTTCAAATCCAGCCTAGTCTACAGATGGAGTTGAGTTCCAGGACAGGCTCCAAAGCTACACAGAGAAACCCTGTCTTGAAAAGCAAACAAACAAAAATCCTGAGGCAATTCAGTATAACCACCTGTGGTAAGGACCAGCAG